ACATGAATTGGTTTCGATACGCAGAAGGCTGAAAATTCCCTTTAGTCTTCGAAATATCCTTAAACTCATAATGAGCTCTTCTACTTTAAACAACGATAGAATTTACAGATTTCTGCCAACAGAAAACGACTCTTATTCTGCAATGATAAAATTCTGATTTGTCGTGGATTACAAAGCATTACTTCTCCAGCTACTTTTTTGGTCAGCGCTCGGATTTCGGACAGCGAATCAACACAGTCGAGTTTTCTGGTCACCAAAATACCTTTAAAAATTCTAAAAAGAACCTACAACTTTTCGCAAACTTGTATGTTTGTTCGTTTTGATCTTTTTTTTCGGCGGAGTGGGGGGGGGGCGGGGTGGTTCAGTACTTTTTTGTAAATTTTAATACACAAGGTGTTGTAAGAATTATACATACCCCTAAAGCGTTAGCAAAATCGTCATAATACGTCTCTACTAAAAGCCTGTCAATTCCTCCGCTTCTCAAGCACTTCACTATTCGAAAGATTAGCACTCAGCAGTAGTTGCCATTAAAAAAATGTGCAGTTGAACAATGGTTGCTTTAAGCAATCTCACTATTCTGAAGTTCAAAGTACTCCTATTAGTTCCAAGATCTAATGTATGATACAAAATTACAAATATAAATAACTTTTGTGACTGTCAGAACTACCGTTCCTAGGACTACTTTTAAGCTCTATAACACTGCTAACGGCGTGGGCAGTGCAGTGGTTGGAGATGTCGTCCAATAACGTGGACGAAGAGCTGGTTTTATTCCGTTCAGCCTAACCAAGCCTCATATTCCTCTTGGATTGGGGAATTGGTACTAGATTTGAAAGAGAAAAGCTCCCTACTATCCACGAAGACCGGTGATTGCTTGTGGTAAAGATATAGGAACGTCATAGTGCTGATATTTCAGGTCTCTAAAAAGAATCGAAACCGGTACAACAACATTCTTGAACAAGACGGATATTCAAACAGACGCCGTATTCGCATGGAAAGTCGAAGACTGCCGTGGATGACGGACATCAGAAAACAAATCGAATGAAAAGAAATGCTACGATCCTCAGAATAAATGATATTGAATCATGCACATGAAGAGACAACGGCTAATAAGTTTTCCCCAGGCGAGCTTTCGAAGTGAAAAACACTTTATAATATCTTAAATTTTAATTCATGCGTATTCTTTTTTCATGGCAGGATAGACAGAAATGCAATCATAAGGATGCTGAGATATGAGCAATATTGGGATCCTCAGGTGAGCGTCAAGCCCACGATTACCGCTACAAGAGTGCACGTACTGTTCACCATACCAACCTACGCCTTTAATCTGTCTTTCTTTCAGTCATGTTTAGCAAGGGAGCCCCATAAAGGGTGGTCGTTGGTACGAAGCTCACCTGAGCGTCGGAATTTTGCTCAAATCTCAGCATCATCGTGGTTGTATTTTTTACTCTTTACTCTGGAAAAGTGCCGTTGGCTTTTAAGTAATTCGAGCAATCTCAGCCGGTACACATTCAAGCTTCTATAGGTTGTCATTTGCGTGTGAGAACTTATTATTTGATGACAACAGATGTTTCGGAGACCAAAAATTGAAGTAAATGAATAAGTAAATAAATAAATAATAGTACATTCTTATTGTCCTTTCCCGTAAATATACAGAGATCTAGAAAAAACGAGCAGAAGCTGCCATAAACAAAAACAAGAAGCACCACCAGAAAAGATTGTAAGCAAGTAGCGTGCAAGGAAAAAATCAAGCTACCATAATCAGAGTGGTTAGTGGAATTTCCGATCATACCGACGAATTGACCGCTAGCGGTGTAGACGTATGTCGTTACCGGTTTCATCTTTTGAACTGAATTGAGAAAACATGCAAGCATAGGGATAGGAAAAGTATTAGAATACACACATATGGGAAAAACAATGCAGTTAAATAAAGAATATTTGTGAGAGTAACCCGTTAGACATGGCTGGTTATCCAATTGTTACCATAGAAGAAGCTGGCAACACCTATTGTTAGAAACTATCGCATTAAGCGTTAGGTCCCCTTGGTTACACTTTCACAAAAGGGTCTGGTGACTCAAAACCCAAAGATTACAAGAGCTAAAGATTCTGTGACACATAAAAGACCTATGTTCTTGATACTTCCATACAATATTAAATCACAAAAAAATTACGACGAAATATAGTAGTGTCAGCACCTCTTTTCACGTGCTATAAAGCGACAACTAAGAAGCTCTGCTCACCTTAAGAATGAAAAGTAGCGATAAAAAATGAGTTCGAAATGATGGAATGACCAAAAAAGTATAAGAAGACGAAAAAATGATAACGGCGTACGCACCGAAAAGTTTGATTGTGAGCGAAATGAAGTCATATTCGTATTTCTGGACAAAAGTCTACGTCCCATGTTTTACCGCTACTGTAGATGTCGTTCAGACAAGCACACGAACTTACCGATCGCTTCGACTCCACTGGCAACTTTTTCTTCAACCTTCGCGCTAACATTTCCGAATCCACCAGTGTTTCCTGGAGGATAATTTCTTTCCGTCGGCTCTAATAAATCGTTTTATTAAGCCCCAATAAAGTAGATTTAGTGACGTTTGTCATAAGGACTACACTTAGAAAAACAGTTCCATGGGGAATCTGCTTAGACGATTAGATAGACCACAAATATTCAAGCCACCAGTAGGTAAATTTCCACAAAGGTCTATAAATGATTCCTCGAAAATTTTTTTTCAGCACAATGTAAACCTTTTATTTTTCTGCCTACTATAGTTTCTCGCGGCATGGTATGACGTGAATTACAGCCACAACGATGTTGAGATATTCGTATATACTTGCACCCTCGGGCCAAATCAAACCACAATTCCTCTTTCCGTGGGCTCACGCATTACACACTTAGCCACGGAGGCTCCTGCACTAAGTCTCTCTCAGCTAGTTTTCTACCTAATCCCGCTGACGGGGCATTGCTGATAGCAGCGTTAGGTAGAAAACTAGCTGAGAGGAATGCAGAGCAAAGGACTCCGTAGTGCAATGTCTAATACGCGACCCTCGGAAAGGAAAATCGTGGTTTGATATGGCCCGGGTTCTAAGTCTTGCGAATATCTCAGCATCGTTGCGGTTGCAGTTCACATCTTTTTCAACAATTTCAGTAATTTTCTCCAATGTATACCGAGAGACTTGTTTCCATATAATCATGTTCAAGGGTGCGTATGACGCAGTGGTCGAAGGCGTCCTGCAACACACACCACACACGTGGAATCGATACCCGCGCCTATGTCCCACCACGCCTTCCATCCCTCCAGGGTCGGCAAACTGGTGCCAGACTTATCTGGGAAGATATCAGCACTGGCTCGATACAACGGTAGGCCACCGCGAGTGAATGTAAAGGCCAGATATGCATTCAATCACCTCCAACGATACTTAATGAAGTCGAATGCATTCTTTATAATAATGTTGGAATCTTTTCATATTCAAAATCAATACAGTAAATAGGACTTTATTAAGTGAGTGTCACAAAAATCTACATATTGTTATGCAAGGAAATACCTATTCGTGCAACGTAAGTTTTAATAGTTATATCAACTTATTAACATCTTCCTAACTTTGTGCATTGATTTCAGTGCGTCTCACGATCGCCTGTCTCTTTTGCGTACCAAGCTTTTTCTATGTATTACCTCTTGCACTAAGTACACGGTTTCCACACGAAAGATACGGGTATTGGAGTTGTCCAACAAAATGTAATTTCTTCACATAACTATTTACAAAAAAAAAGGCTTTTTTGGGACTAGTCTGTTCCTCAATGAGTTCCGTGGCGATTCGCTGCTTACTGCTGAGTTGGGGCAACATCGTTATTATCGCTGAGAAGAACCCTACTAAGCATCGGAGAACCGCAAGGACGTTTCGGACCGCGCGCATTAAGTTCGATGCATAATGCGCACGGCATTAGCCATATGTAATATCATTCCGCAACTGCTGAAAATTAGACGTCGTCACGAATATATTGAATGTTTGCCTTGTGACTATGATTTTTCTGAGCATCCTCGCCCACTTCTAGGGATATGGTTGTTTGAAAATTTTCATGAGTTCTTACAGATTCTGATAGAAGTATGGAAAAAACACCACTTCGCCAGACTCACCACCAGTCTGCACAGCCTTGTCGGCGTTGCTCTCCATCGCATCGGCGACAGCATGGTTTCCCTAAACATAGTTCACAAGTTAAGAATGATTGGTGCTAAAAACAAACAAACATTGAGCCACTTCTCTTTGAGCTAAGTGAAACGGTAAGTTTAAAATCAGCAAAATTTTCAAACAGATTAAATATATGATTTTGGTTTTCAGAGACAACTGACAGAACAATAAAGACGTTGAAGTAACAGGAAAGGAGAGCAACTGCACAGACGGGCTAGCGCATTTGTCGATCATAATAGTACCGCCAGTTGAATGGGATAGGAAAGTGAAGCTCGTCGACCATAAATGGGTAAGGATAAAGCTCTCGGCGTTGATCAATCCCTGACGGATGCGCCATGCATTCGACTTCATTAAGAATCGTTTGAAGGTGATTGAATGCCTATCTGGTCTTTATAATGACTCGCCGTTGCCTACCAATGTATCGAGCCAGTGCTGCTATCCTCCCAGGCAAGTGTGGTACCAATTTGCCGATCTCGGAGAGATGGAAGGCTTCGTGGGCAGTGGGTGCCGCGATCGATTCCATGTGTGTGTTGTACAGCGCCTCCAAACACTGCGCCACACTTGCCCTTCCGTTGACTATACCATGAAGAAAATTAACGATATTCACGGATAATAACGAAAGAAAACAGTTAGAGATTTTGTTATGTGATACACAGAACTACTAAGGACGGACCATCAAAGAATTCAAACAGGAACAATTCCCAGAAGAGATCCGTCTGCTTGGGGACTCTAAAGTTTCGCAGCGTTGGGTATGACGAGTACAGAGAAGGCTGCTAAAGTCTCAGCGCCAGTGGAAGTTGCCTGGACTACAAAGAATTATGGTGACGATGTGTACCTACAATGCACGTACACTTGCATCCGAGTTGCATGAGCAAGTTTTATACCGAGTCGGCGGCGTCGACGTCAACACGAGTTTGTCCATTAACAACGATTCATTCGAACAACCTACAACCCGAATCGGACGTTTACGGTCGAAACGATGTGGATCAATACCGGCTTTGACAATCTTCGTCGTTTACGCGCCGACATCAAACTATGACGAAGAAGAAGTCGAAGCGTTCTATATGGAGCTGGAGAAGTTCCACAGAGAAGGCCACACATTCTTCAAGGTGGAGATTTCAACGCCAAGATTGAGCCAAGAACAACGTCTAAAGAACGTGACATTGGGAGCCACGGATTAGAATGGAACGAACAGGGTGAGCGGCTGTCTGAGTTTATCATGGCGACCAAGCCAATCCATGGTAAGTCGCAATTCCAGAAGCCCCACCCTCAGCACTGAACATGGGAGTCTCGCAATGGACAGTACCATAGCGAAATAGACCACATCATAGTAAATAGACCGATGTCGCTGTTGTCCCAAAATTCTACACGGGATCAGACCATCGTCTCGTTCGTGCAAGATTCTATTTCTCGCGAAAAGGAGAAAAAGCCGCTAAATTCCAAAACCGGAGTACCAGAACCACCGCAAACTGGGACTCAATTCATTAGTCGGCTGTTGGGAAAATGTCGTTGTCGATAACATCGATGAGGAATATGATCGGCTCATTGGATAATTTCACGTTAGCACGATGNGAACACCTGGAGAACCTTCCGCTAGTCCTCGTAAACACACTGCCTCGGCTCTTCACACGTTACTTGTTTGAATGCAAGGTCCCTACTCAGTGGAAGACCAGGAAGACTATGTTATTGTTCAAGAACGGTGACCTACACGATATCGGCAATTATCGCCCAATCTGCTTACTGTCTGTCGTCTAGAGTCGTCCTAAACAGGATTGACAGAACACTGGACGAAGGACAGCCATGTGAGCAAGCAGGGTTTCGAAAAGGATTTAGTACAGTGGACCACATCCACACGATAACAAGATTCATTGAAGTATCGAGAGAGCACAAAAGACTGCTCTGTCTCACTTTCATCGATTTAAAGAAGGCCTTTGACTCAACTGAGATAGAAGCAATCATGGAAGCCCTTGATAGTCAAGGAGTCCCTCAAGTACGTAAAGATTCCTCGTGAGCTATGCAAAATTTTACAACCAAGGTATCACCATTCTACAACGATATTAACATTGACGTCAAAAGAGGAGTTAGGCAAGGCGATACCATCTCGCCAAAATTATTTACCGCTACCCTCCAGAACGTCATGCGAACATTGGAATGGGACGATACGATATGGGAGTGAAAATCGTTGGTCGGCAGTTACACCATCTTCGCTTTGCTGATGACATCGTTATAAACAACAAACATTAGCCAAGCGGAAAATGGTTGCCGACTTTGGTAAAGCCTGGGAAATAGTGGTTTTCGACTAAATTTCACAAAAACGATGTTCATGAGGAATGGATTGGTTTCGCATGCCCCATTCACACTCAACGGTACGAATATCTCCTAATACTCCAGTTATGTCTATCTAGTTCGGAAAATCAATGTGATGAACGACTTAGCCCCAGAGCTGAGCAGAAGAAAACGAGCGGCTTGGGGAGCTTCAAGAGCATCGAGGATTAGTGAAGAGGACAAATAACACTCAGCTCCGTGCCTACCTTTTTGACTCGACGGTACTTCCTGCCCTAACGTATGCGTCAGAAACCTGGTCACTGCGTAAGCAGGATGGAAGATCACTCAGCGTTATTGAACGCGCTGTCGAAAGGACGATGTAGGAGTACCTCGTTTCACACAAGGAAGGGATCCAAAGCTCCGACCTGGGTGAACGATCAAAAGACAAAAGTACCTTTCTATACGCCAAACAGTCGAAGATAAGGTGGGCAATCCGTGTGAATAACAACCGATGGACAACAGCCGTTAATGACTGGATAATTCGGGATGTTAAACGTACAGAAAGACCACCGACCCGATGGTCAGAGTTCTTCACAAAGAGCCTTGAAGAAAGATATGATGCTTGACGAGTCCATAGAGCGAGCAGAACCCACTGAGCTACTCTAGCACACGACAGGGAAAAATGGAAGATTTACTGGCGCCTGCTCGAGTCACTCAACGATCAACGGTGTACAGGTGATACAGGTGACAAGTGATGTTGAGATTTAGTCGATTATTCGACGGTGTAGGGAGATGGGTGAGTTACTTTCATACTTCATACACCTAAATAATAACTACGGCTGAAAACTTTTCAAAACGACTTTTACGTGACGGACATAAAATTGGTGACGCATGTAGCGCAGTGGTTAGAGGTGCCCTAGCATACACATGAATCCAATGGTTCGATATAGCGTGCCAAGCTCACCAAACTTTTCGAACCCCGAGTCGGAAAAATGGTAACAGACGTGTCTGGGAGGATACAACAGCGACTCGATACGTTGGCAGGCCAATGAAAGTCATTATGTAGGCCAAATATACATTCAGCCATCCTTAACGATCCTTAGTGAAGTCGAATACATGGCGCATCCATCTAGGATTGACCAACGCCTAGAGTTTTATCTTTTCATTCTTTTAACATAACAGTTCTACGTATTCAACCCGACGCGGCGAATACATCTTCAATTGAACACTGAATCAATTTTTTAGAAAGTTTTAAAATTGCAACATATTCAACCAAAAATGCTACACCAGCCAACAAAAAACATCTGCCGTAAATAACAAACCTCATGTGTAGGAGCCGATTGTGCCAGTAAAATCAGTTGTAATATGAAAATGAGCAGTTTCATTCTGGATTATAGCTATTGATAGTGATTTATCACTGAAAATACCAACAGTTATGAATGCAGAAGAGCTCATCTCTACGACGATGGCGACAATATACATTCAAGAGAAATCAAATCACGACCAAATCGCGATAAAAGTTAGAATCTAGCCGGTATCGAAGAAATTGAGACTAAGGACTCAGCAATGTCGATAATTGGTAGACTTAGAAAGCACGCGTGTATCGTTGTTGTTAAAGCTGCACTAGGAAATGTCGTTGACACGATTCCGTGCACCAGGCTTTCTAAGTCCTCCATTACTCCGAGGCCCGCCATACTGCTGTCATGCTTATCTCAAAGAGAGTGAAAAAACTGAAATGATTCGTCGACATGCCATGGCAGGGTGTTGTATAAGCCAAATATGTACTCACTCCCCTCTAGAGTATCCAAATGGAATCGAATGCATGACGAACCTTTGAGGGATTGATGAACGTCGAGCGCTCTACATGCTTGGTGAGATGCTAGCCAGGGTCATAGCTCATTGGGCTGGTAAATGAATGTTGGCCTCGTTAGAAGAATATCTAGTAGCGACTACAGAGCTCCATCTATTGGAATGATAAAGACAGTGCAATGAAACGCATCTGTAGAAAAATCTGTGGAAGTGCGTGACACAGTGTGAAGCACACGTTGTTCTAAAAGGTAAAGGCGAATGTTAATCTGGCGCTAAATTTCAACCACAGACGAAATCCCCGAGTAAAATTTTATCTCAAGTACTTACTACTACTGCTATTTACTTTATCAGCTCACTTGCTAATTATTCACGATTTTCTCCATTTACCAAAAGTACTACAGCATCATGTCAAAACTTCATATAATCTATAGCAATGAGAGACAAACAAACAAACAAGCGAAAATAGCAAATAGAAAACGAGTTACATCAACCGTTGTAAAAGAAGGAAATCCACCTTTAGATGTTTCCTGGTTATTAGAAAAGACACGAAGGATAGCGAAGGCTGAACGCACATAGAGTTATTCGCACCTCACAACACCGTAAAACACCAGTCATTTGGTTTCAGGACCACGAAAATAATTGTCTCCAATCTTTGCAGCATTTATCCAGCTCAGAGGAAAGCGAAAGAAAATGGTGCGCTTGAAAAAAATGTGTAAACGACCCCACACAACATCTGTTGCTCTTTTTACGCTTTGAGTACGCTGCACTCTCGCAAAAGACTGAAAACTCGTACGAAACTACCGATCGATAATCGACGAGTTTACTCTCGGCTGAATAGAAAAAAGAAGACAACCGAACCAGTTTTGTTGTCTAGTCAGACGGCAGATCAATTGAGCCAACCAAAAATTACATGCTTATAAGTCAATTAAATTTCTAGACGTTAGCTTACCGAGCTAAGAGCTCAACAAGGAGAAAAGTTCGTATCAACCATTCCTACGAAAAGACTCAAAATTTTCTTTACAATGATAATTTGACCACGGAGATTTTATGTAGTGCCAATTTTCTACTGTGTATTAACAACAATGGAACAAAAAATAATGTGGATAAGTTTCGAAAGGAGAAGAAACATTGTTGGTGCCAGATGATTCTCTTTGAGCACATGTCCCTTTCCCTGATCGGAAATAATCGTTAATGGGGAACCGGATACTAAAGTAGTTACGGGCACGGTGTCGACGCAACGGATGCGATTTCCGACACCCGAAAGTCCAGATAAGCGACATGTATACAATTTGTCACAGATGAACAACACTTACAGACAACTGGCTAATAGGCATAACAATATAATTCCCAATTATTCGCAACGATATACTTTCATTAATGAGTATCGTAGTATAACACTGTAGTCACAGAAAGGGATCCTTAAGGTGAAGTAAATGGTGTAGCCCAAAATAATGGGCCTTACCTGAACGTATACGACCTCTTTGGCCATGGTCGCTCCTCATCCAACGAAATCCTGCACATCTCAAGACCAAAATTTTCCGCAATGTGGTCCGATACAGATAAAAGCACTCGGTGATAGCTTCGATTACTCGTTGCATTTGACTCCATTCGTAACATTGCAGAGATGATTGAATACTTATTTGACTTGTGTAACGAATGGCATAGTACTAGCGATGAGTCATGTCAGTGTTCACATCCTACCAGATAAGTCTGCCACCAGTTTACCGATTCCAAAGCGATGGACCGCTTCGTTAGCGTGAGATGAAGGTCGAGCCAAAGACCACGTGTGCACTAAAGTTCATTTCTAACCATTGCACAACACGTCCTCGGCATTGTTTAACGCGAACCATCTTTATTCTTTAGCCTTTTAATATTTTGGTCAAAGAAAATCCAAGACTTATTATTAAAGTTAGTAAGTACTTACCAGCTTCCTTTAAATCTTCGTGCTATATGGTTAAAACTCTGGTGCTAAAATTATTGGTTTTAACACAGCTGTCAAAATTCTGAGAAAATTCGAAAAATCATGAATGTATGCTGCATGCTTCTTATGTACAAGAAACACATTTGTGATTGTACCACATTATAGAAAATCGAGACATAGAAAAAA